CACTGTGTACGCAAAAAAAAGCCTTTTTATAATTAGGAAAACTAATGGTAAATAAATATCTATGATTTTATTTTTATTTTATTTTTCAAAACTCATTTTAAATCTTACGTGTTTTATTGTATCGGGGGGGGGGGTGGGTGGTGGGGGGGTGGGGGGCGCGCCGTTCATTGTTTTTGTAAGCAGGTCTGGACTAAAAATAAGTTGCGTGTTTTAAAGGGATGAAGGTTTACCAGTGTTTGTCACAACGCTGTTTACACAAAAACATCTCTCGTTTGCTTTCTATCTCATAGTTAACTATCGTAATTCCGTTACCGACAGTATCAAGGTGACACCACATGTGAGGACGCCACTGCCCACAGTATCATCGACAACAGTGTTAAATCATGTTTATAACTTCACGTTTGCGTGTTTAGGGGAAAATCTTCGGAAGGCTAATTGACCCATTTTACCTGTATTTCACGGGGAGATGATGGAAATAGGATGCCTTCAATTTCATGAAATAAAATTCCCCAAAACTGCGCTAAATGAGATTCTTTTAAAAAATAATAATCGCAATTGAGTTTGGTGCTTAATTTATTTCTTTTTCTGAAATAGTCGGTGTAATAAATCTAAGGTGTAAAAGCAGGTGTAACATAAATCAAATATAATGTTTAAAAAAATGCATATAAAGGAATCATACGAAAAACTCTTTTTTTTTTTTTAGGAGTAATTTATTCGTCACCTAAAAACGACCTGTCTGCTAGAGACAGAGACTTGTAGTTAAGTCCGTAAAAATTAGAAATGAATCTCAAAGCTTTTTAAGCGGAACAACTGGTCAAACTGGACTACGTTAGTGGGCGTACTATGATAGTGGGCGTACTATGATAGTGGGCGTACTATGATAGTGGGCGTACTATGTTAGTGGGCGTACTATGTTAGTGGGCGTACTATGTTAGTGGGCGTACTATGTTAGTGGGCGTACTATGTTAGTGGGCGTACTATGTTAGTGGGCGTACTATGTTAGTGGGCGTACTACGTTAGTGGGCGTACTACGTTACTGGGTGTACTATGTTAGTGGGGGTACTATGTTAGTGGACGTACTATGTTAGTGGGCGTACTATGTTAGTGGGCGTACTATTTCAGCTCTGAACAGCCGGAAGAGGGTGAGGCTAAATTCTTGATTATACGGTCATAAAAACATTTAAAGGTTTTGTTTCGTGTAAAATTGAGACAATTTTCAAATAGTTCGTGAATGTTTCTTAAAGATGGCAACCAAGACTCGAGCTGGATTCGGACTACATCTAGTGAGGATGGGACTGTAACCTCTAGTATTGACGGGACTACATCTAGTGAGGATGGGACTGTAACCTCTAGTATTGACGGGACTACATCTAGTGAGGATGGGACTGTAACCTCTAGTATTGACGGGACTACCTTTAGTAGGGATGGGATTGTAACCTCTAGTATTGACGGGACTACATCTAGTGAGGATGGGACTGTAACCTCTAGTATTGACGGGACTACATCTAGTGAGGATGGGACTGTAACCTCTAGTATTGACGGGACTACATCTCGTGAGGATGGGACTGTAACCTCTAGCATTGACGGGACTACCTTTAGTAGGGATGGGACTACCTCCAGCAGGGATGGGATTACCTTGAGCTGGAATGGGACTATATCATGCGAGGGTGGGACTACTTCCAGCTGAGATGGGACTGTATCTAGCGGGAATGGGACCACCTCCACTGATTCCCACGGGGTGTAGATAATTGCCCAAGCAAGATGTTAGGTCGGTTCGGTTCCATGGTTTAAAAAAAAAAGGGGGGGGGGGGGGGGGGCGAAGGGG